GACTTGTAGTACATGTAGTGCTTTAGTTAATATATCTGCTTGTTGATTGTTTGTCTGTATGTATTTTGCATTTATGTACTCTAACTCAATGTAGCATTTAATAAAATCTTTCTTATAATCTAAATGCTTTGTTTGTTCCGAATATTTGAGTTTGTCTGATGTAACTGTTTGTATAACAGTATTGTTATTACAATAGATATTAATTGGTGCATCAGAGACCTGCAGAATCTCTTCAGCTAAATGAGTAAGTACAATTGCTTCCTGTGTTCCTCTTACAAGAGCTATTAATTCAGCTTCATACATCGAATTTGCCACCAGTGTTTGTCTTTTACTTGACCACAAAACTAATGAATTACTCAAGTAAAATGTATATCCTGATATTGTACAATGCCCTTCTTGCATCATACTGTCTGTGTCTGTATAGCTGTTCAATATTGATTGATTTGTACTGCCAAGTTGGAGCCAGACATTGTTTGTAGTTTTTAAGTACATGTAACAATGTTTAAGTGCTAGATAATGCTCCATACTAGGGTCATTGAGGTATTTTGCTAACTGATTTGTTACAAATGCTATATCTGGCTGTGTACAGTCTGCAATGTATCTAAGTACACTAACCATGTTCATGTATAGTATATTAGACATTTGTTCTCTATCATTATCAGTTTGCAATACTGTTTTTAATTGTGTACTGGGCTGTATGGGTGTTTGTACACTTTGTTCGTTTGTAAGTTTGTAACATTCTATTATACTATTAATATAATGTGTCTGACACATCCTGATGAATCTATACTCTCTGTCGTGTTGAATCTCTATACTAAGTAGCTAGTGTAATTCACTACTGTCTGTATATTGTAAATAATGTACAATAGATTGTTTTATCATTACAATAGTATTATTATTCATTACTACAATAGTAATATTGTTGACATGTACAAATAATATGGTTACAGTTATTTCTTTCTTCTTTACAAAGAATACAGTATTATCATGTTTGGATTTCATTAATCCACATTTAAGTAGTATATTAGATAGCATTTTATACTATCTTCTACCAGCTTGTTTTAATCTGTATAGCACTTTTTGTAATTGTAATATTTGTCCATTCTGTAATCTATCTATTAAGTTACCTGGAGGAGGTTTAACATATATTTCTTTGTCTTCTGTCAATTGTCCATACAGATATACTGATTTTATATTTATCTAATGTATTTCATAATTATTAGATACTGCCCATACTAATATTAATCACACTATAGATAGTCTAGCAGTAGGAGCAAATAAATTGTCTGTATAATAGTCAAGGCTGTTAATCTGATAGTTTCCTTGAACTACTAATTGTGCTTTATATTTTTCTATACTATTATCAGTGTATTGCTTTATTTTATAGACAAATCATGTTCCAATGATGTTAATATTATTGTGTGGATTCATGATTTCCCATGTATTATGATTTTCTAATTGTTTTATTTCATCTTTCATAGCTACAATCTATGAATCACGATCCAGACATTAGATTGCTTCATAAAATGAAGTCAGATCTGATTGTATTTCACTTATTTTAGTATTAAATTCTGTTAAATGAATGGCAATATTATCTTCATCCTTTTTGCTAAGTACATACGTGTGTTTCATTATGTGTTTATTCTCCATACATTGTTTAAGCTCAATAGTACATTCTGTCAGTTTCTGTTTCCATTCCAATCAATGTAATTTAGGTTCTACTTCTTTTTCAGTTAATTTAACTTTGTTGTCTGTTAAGTCTGTTGGTTCTGCCACTTTTCCTTTTTTGTTAGGATCAGTGTTGTCTGTATCATTGTTGTCTGTTCTTGTTATTCTATTGTCTGTTTCATTATTTTTAATTATTAAACACTTGTTTGTATTGTTGTTTATATCATCTATTTTCTCCCCTTCAATTTGAGGAGGTTTACCTTCAAGAAATTGAATATTTCGTTTGATAGTAATTTTATTATTGTGCCAAGTTTTATGGCCTTTACTTTCATTGTCTAATCCTATCCAACAAGCAATAATACCTTACTGTTGTATTTTTGTAGGATTTTCGTTACAAATGATAATATATTAACCAAATTTGTATATATTATCAATTGTTCTGTGTGTTCTGTAACGTTTGTAATGTGGGGTATTATAATTTAAAGCAGCACACAGTGTTCTATTATGAATATAGGTAATATGAATTGCTGCTTCAGCCCATAATGTAAACAGTAATTCAGTAGATGTTAGATATGCTCTTACACCTCTAAATATAGTTTTATGCATTCGTTCTGCTATT